CGGCGGTGCGGCCTGTGCGGGCGCTGCCCCGGCGGTGCCCCCGCCCGGAGAGAGCCGCAGAGCCGTGGAATGGTGGCGTGAGCGCGGATGGAAGAGTCATTTTACATCACCGAATCCAGCCGTCAACCGAGCAGTGTCCCTGTAACACCGAAACCGCATCACCCACAGACTGATTCTGACGCCTCTTTAACACCTTCAGGGATCGTGACCCCCAGCTCCCTGGGCGACCTATTCCAGTGTCTGAGCAGCCGAACTGTTCAAATATTTTTCAAGTGTCTAGGTATAATTTTTCATTAGGGGCGCAAAGAATATGTAGGTATCAATTTCATTGTGAATATGGAGGAATTAGTAGTTAAATACTCAGATCTCATCTTTAAGTCCTTGGTTTGTAATGTTTTCCATCATAATGATAGCTCTCTCTCGCCCAAGACAAAAATGTTTTCTCACCTCCCAGATTTGGGTTTGTACACAGAATTTGTAGGAGTTTTTTTTTTCCAACTTGGAAACTCATGCACTAAGAACGTGAAAAAAATTGTGAAACTGGTCTTCCTTGACATGATAGCCCGTGTTAGAATTTAAGAGTAACTTAAATGTAAATGTAAAAGTGAAATACAGCACTTTAAATTTCAGTATTGTCAAACTGAGAAATTTCAAGGTCAAAACAATTCTAAAGTTTATTTTGAATATGAGGTTTGTTTACTCAAAACAGGCTGTAACAAAAAGGCATTTTGTTGAAGAATTTCAGTGAAAGATAATGCCATATGCATCAGACTTCCTGTGAACTGATGTTGGATGCCATTGTTAAACAGAGCTGGGTAAGTGGAAATACTTTGGGTAAGGCATGTTTGTTGATGGAGTTGTTTATTCAAAAAGCTAATTCTTTCCTGAACTTGGAAATCTGTAGCCTGTGTTAGAATGCAGGTATAATTCACTTACGAGTTTGTGGCCTGGTACTGAAATTCTGCCATTCTTTGTTACCAGTAAAACATACATTGCAGTAACATACCACGGGAAGACTTGTTTATGCACCCTGCACAAAGAGAAAGGAGAAGAGAAAGCCTCAAACAAACACAGATTAGTAGATTTCCTGCTAGTAAAGTCCACCCAGGTATAAAGCATTTTGAATGTTCCTGTAATCCTGAGGATTACGTTTCACTATTTGTGTCAATGGTTGCATTTAAATACAAGGTGGTTTTAATTTCTTGTGTGCATTTTAGTGTGATGCACTTGAAGGTTACTAATTATTTTTATTACTTCTTTCCAGCATTGTCTAAAATGGTAAAAGATGCTGTGTTTCTTCAGCTCTGGGAGAAGGACAGGGATTAATATAGTGCTAAACTCAGTAGCAGGAAGATGAAAAGAGAATTTTTTGGTCAAAAAAAGAATAGGCAGGGAAAGTTACAGAATGGCAGAATACAGACAATTCAAGAGAGTAAAAACACTCCTGTGGAGGATAATTGTGAAATATTAGTTAAGGATGCACACACACCACTGGAGCTGTGTGATTACAGAGGGCTCAGTGTGAGTTTTGGTTGCTCAGTGTGAGCTTTGGGGGCTCAGCTGGCTCTCAGGGGATGGAGCAGCGGGAACCACTGCTCTCCTGCAGCACAGGGAAAGCTGTGAGGTACTGTCAAAGACTAGATCCAGCACTCACAGCTGCCTGGAGTGGAGCTCCAGCTGTTGGGCTGTTTATATCTCAATGTCCTCTGACAGCTGCTGATGGGTGAGTGTGGGCAGGGGAGGTAGCTGAGGGGCTGGGAGTGCAGAGTTCTGACACTTCCCATAAGGAACATCCCAAATGGGTCAGATGGGAACCATCCACTGGCTCACTCCTCATCACGCCCTAACTACTCTCATGGGTCTTCTGAGAATGAAACAACTTTCTTAGGCAGAAAACCCCCTGTATATATTTGTAGTCTTACAGAGGCCCTAGGACAGGTCAAACCAGCTGAATTAGTAAAGCTAAGGTGGATATCTCCATATGAAGTGAAACACATTTGATGTACAGGAATTTTCCCATGGATTTCAGTGGCAGTAGGCTTGAGTTTCAAATGCTGCTGTTAATTAGTTGCTACCCACATCCAATACAGACATATAACTCATGCCAAGCTTTGTAATTGTCCATAATAACACAATTATTCTAGCAGAGGCCCAAACACTGGGACATTTTCCTTTTTTTGCACTGAAGTTCCTTGAAAATGCCTGAACTCAAATAATTTAAAGTTTCCCCTGAGAAGGGTGTGATTTTAAATCAGCTAAGCTGTGTGTCCAGTTGTGAGTATAAACCAGTTGAATGGCTTTGCATGTGCTGTTTCTAGCCCACCTGGAGCTATAGGGGATCAGCAGAGTATATGTGTATGTGCATGATCAGTGTTCAGAGAAGGGGGAACCTGGGGGTATCAGCCAGCTTCATGGTGTCAGCAATACCATCCTAATGCAGAAGTGGCCCTGAAACCTGTGACTACACAGTACCTCCCCAAGTTCTGCCTTTGGCCCAGATGCAGTCAGGCAAACAGCTGAGCCTTCTGACATAGCTTCCTTGCCACTAACTTGCATAAATCTCCCCTGAGTAGCAGAGCTCAAAAGCACAACCACATTCTCTGCTTTTTTTAAAGAAGCTTAAGAAATTTGTTTCAGTCTATAAACCTAGCATTTGTCATCATCCTCCAGTATGATATTATTCCATTTCTGGAACAGCATTTTTACTTGGCCTTGCCTTGCTGTATGCCAGCTAAAACTCTTCCCATCAGGCTCTGCAGTAATTAACTGCACAGGGACTAAGTCTTTAGGCTTACTGCCAGCTCAGTCCCTTTAGCTGAACCAGGAATAACATGGGGAAGAAAAAGCAACAGCCACAAAAGATCAGCAACAGAGGAGAACACTGGACAATTCATCCACATGTCACCTGTACAATGCTTGCATGTACATGCATGCATGCTCCTACCTCATGGTTTTTTTTCCAGCAATAAAATCCACCACCTGTGGGTGGTGGGTGCTCTGTCTGCTCCTTCACTGAAGCACTGCAAGTGGTTGCAACAGCCCTAAACAGCTCTTTAGGGCCATGCTTAACATAGGCAAACCCTTTTGCTGACCTGGTTTCATTCTGAGGCTCCCTTGCCAGCTCAGGATAAAGGTAGCTCCCCTCTACAGCTGGCTTGTTCCTGTTCCTCCAGCTTTGAGTCACTAGTTAAACCTCACCAGAGCTGATCTGAGTGGGGCTTATCTGGGGCCTCACACAGGCTTCCTGCTTTGATAATAACCAACCCCACTGACTAGTAATAGATGAATGATGAGGTGATGCTGTGGCAGCATTTACACCCTGTAACATTTGCCCTGAAGGGTTAGCAAGTAAATAAAACAGAACCATGTTTATGGATGTTGTCATGTCTCTTTCCACATGTTTTCCTTTCTAGACTAAACAACTCTCTCTACTTGGAAGCTCAGGGTTCAAGGGTCTTTTTTTCTGCTGCAGTACTTTGCAATCTCTAAAATTTGTTTACATCTGTGTTTAAGTGAAGGGCTCAACAGCTGACAACTGCTGTCTTCTGTAGGAGCACTGGCAGCCATATTTATATTTACTGTTTTATCATAAACAGTTCCACTGATACAATGCAAAATGGCATTTTTTAAAAACTGCTTTATACTATTGATTCTACTTCTATAGTTTTGTTGTCTAGTCCAGTATTTACCCAATTTGAGTGCTGGTACCTTGCTCTTTGACAGTGTCTTGTCCTTGAGTGTATGTGTTTTGTTATTTAATTACTACCCTTTTCTGTATATTGTCAAGACCATGCAAAGCTAGATTTGGTCCTTCAAAAATATTGGTGCTCTGCGCATTTTCTTCCATTAAGAAAATGTTATCATCTTTGGATGAAACAAGCTTGAGAGAAAAACATTTAGGCAAAATTATGAGAACTTCAGGTTTTGTTTACTTCAGGAACTCCAGCGGGTCAGAGTTTAATTTTTCTGTGCTTATTTTTCATTTCTTGTTCTCCTTATTCTACTGGAACATGGCTTAGTGAGCTGATAGGAGAAATGAGGAAGATTATAAGGCATACTGAAAGAACTAAAAGTCAGTTTTCATTGTTATGCCTGTGAAAATTTTACACCAGTAGATAAGCTTATTAGTACACTTTATAGCATTTTTATTGCCATTTATTATCTTTTCTTTGTGTCACCCTTGCTATTTTAACAACTGTTTAATGTCAGATGACTCACTGCTTTCAGCCGTATGGGAGGAACAATAAAAAAATCACATTTACTGAATATACCATATGTGTATGCTGTGTGGGGTGTTCTAGGAATGGAAAAGGAAGAACTTCCTGGAGTCTGTAAAGGGCAGATGATAATACCACTTGGGAATCTTCCAGTGAGGAAGAGAAAAGCTAGTGCAGAGTTTGTGGTCAGTTTGGGTAAAATGCTTTATGATATTCCTCTGTGGTTGTGATTGCATACATTATTCAAAGGAAATAAATACAACTGTGAAAAGCAGCTTCTCTAGTTACACTGATCTCTTGCCTGAAAAGTCAGGCAAAGTGCCTCATTGTATCTAAAATCTTTAAAACAAATTAATTCCCTGGAAGCACATTAGCTGCATATGCCTTTAAGATTATCACCCTTCTATTGGCATATTAAAGCAAATAAAATTATCTTAAAAAATAGGAATGTTTAGATCTTAAAGTTTTGTTTGTTCAATGGGCAAAACTCTTATTACAATGTTTTAAAATCGCTTGCCCAAACATTAAGTTGTTATATTCTTTAATACCCTCATGTTTTGTCTTCCTGCTATTTCTCAGAATAGAATCATTATCTTTTTTCGCGGATTGAAAGTACACAAAGTACACTGGTTCTCCAGAAAAGTACTGTAAGTTTGCAGGAGGCTGAACTGTTGCAGCAATTTTACAAATCATGCACAGGTCTGTCATAATTTTGACCAAGCCAAGCTTGACCAGTTGGTCACTGAATGACCTCTTCTTTTTTTCTGCATTGCTCGGGTAACTGTGATCAAAAACCTCCTAGAAATGAAACACATGGTTCAGCTGAAGATGAATCTGTAACAAACATCATTCTGGTTCAGACAGGTATAGTGCCAGAAGCAGATGTGCAAGATGTAAGAGCACAGCAGTGCTTTGTCAGTCTCTGATAAGGAGAAACTCCAGTAACTGTTTAGCCTGGAGAAAAGGAAGCCCAGGCCTTATTGCTCTCCACAACTACCTGAAAGGTGGCTGTGTTGAGGTGGGCAGCAGTCTCTTCTCCTAAGCAGCAAAGTATAGGACAAGAGGAAATGGCCTCAAGTTGTACCAGGTGAGGTTTAGATTGGATATAATGAAAAATTTCTTCACTGAAAAGGTTGTCAGGTTTGGTACAGGCTGCCCAGAGAAGTAGATGAGTCACCATCCCTGGAGGTATTAAAAGGATGTGCAGATGTGGTGCTTAGGGACATGGTGTAGTGGTGGGCTTGGCCGTGCTGGGTTAACAGTTGGACTTGATGTTAAAGGTCTTCTCCAACCTGAATGGTTCTATGATTCTAAGAATTACCAGCTTAGTCTGTTTGGAACAAGTGTCCTTATGTGCCACATTCTTGTTCTCTGAGCTTGGAAACAGTGATTCACATTTTTTGGTTTGCAGATAAAATGAGAGTGCGTATTGATCCTGTTTCATTCATTGCTCCAGGACCTGTTCCGAGGACAGTGTTATGCCCAGAGAGGAGACGGGGAGGTCTGTTGGTTTATTTTACTTGTAAAGTGCTGTTAAGTGTGATGTGTTAAATATTAAAAATAACATTAACATTTGCTTTAGATTCTAGGTATTTAGTAGAAGAATTTGGTTTATGATTTCATGCAAAGCCCACATGGCTTGAAAAGTCTAACATCAGAGTTCTTTGTTGACATTATCTTTATTGAAGCATGGATCTTTAGCTTGGTTCACCATAAAGTGAAGCATTTTATTTATGATAATAGACAGTTTAGGGCTATCGGGGCATTATAACGTTGCTGGTGTAGATACAACTTTATCAGAAGATACAAACATGACCCGCAATAGAAACAAACACCGAAGAGAACACAATGAAACGTTCACCGTTTACAAATCACTTCATTACTACAGACACCAAATGGCAGTTACTGTAAGTAAATCAGTTTCAAAGAACTGACTACATTTAGACAGGGAATTGGGAATTTCTGTTTGGGGCTTAATCCACAA